ATGAGGCAGTCTTTCATCTGGCTTGCCACTCATACCTGGGCTAGGCTGACACTCACACCTGGGCTAGGCTGACTGACACTCACACCTGGGCTAGGCTGACTGACACTCACACCTGGGCTAGGCTGACTGACACTCACACCTGGGCTAGGCTGACTGACACTCACACCTGGGCTAGGCTGGCTGACTGACACTCACACCTGGGCTAGGCTGACTGACACTCACACCTGGGCTAGGCTGACTGACACTCACACCTGGGCTAGGCTGACTGACACTCACACCTGGGCTAGGCTGACTGACACTCATTCCTGGGCTAGGCTGACTGACACTCACACCTGGGCTAGGCTGACTGACACTCCTGGGCTAGGCTGACTGACACTCACACCTGGGCTAGGCTGACTGACACTCACACCTGGGCTAGGCTGACTGACACTCACACCTGGGCTAGGCTGACTGACACTCACACCTGGGCTAGGCTGGCTGACTGACACTCACACCTGGGCTAGGCTGACTGACACTCACACCTGGGCTAGGCTGACTGACACTCACACCTGGGCTAGGCTGACTGACACTCACACCTGGGCTAGGCTGACTGACACTCATTCCTGGGCTAGGCTGACTGACACTCACACCTGGGCTAGGCTGACTGACACTCCTGGGCTAGGCTGACTGACACTCACACCTGGGCTAGGCTGACTGACACTCACACCTGGGCTAGGCTGACTGACACTCATTCCTGGGCTAGGCTGACTGACACTCACACCTGGGCTAGGCTGACTGACACTCATTCCTGGGCTAGGCTGACTGACACTCACACCTGGGCTAGGCTGACTGACACTCCTGGGCTAGGCTGACTGACACTCCTGGGCTAGGCTGACTGACACTCATTCCTGGGCTAGGCTGACTGACACTCACACCTGGGCTAGGCTGACTGACACTCCTGGGCTAGGCTGACTGACACTCATACCTGGACTAGGCTGACTGACACTCATTCCTAGGCTAGGCTGACTAATAATAAGCTCCGGGAATATATCTGCCTCTCCCTCTGCAGTACTGGGATTACGAGTACACATGTTTATGTGAGTTCTGGGCATTGGACCCAGGTCCTCATGGTCATATAGCAAGTGCTTCACTAGTTAAGCCATGTCCTCAGCCCCACTGCATTCTGTTTTAGTCAGTAGAGTGAAACTTGTAACATGACTGGGGACAGATACCCCAGCAATGAGGGCCTGAGGCCTAGAGTCTTCCCTAGCAGTTTGGATCAGATTTGCTGACTCCAGATCCTAGGTCCTTGTCTCCCACCTGTCCAATGTATATGTTTTGACTTTACTTGCTTCTGTTTCCCTTAGCTCAGGCTGCTGTGACAAGTTAACATAGATAGGGTTGCTTGAACAACAAACTTGCATTCTCAGAGTTCTCAAGTATTAACAGGTTTGAGACCAGAGTGCCCAGCAGGACTGGGTTCTTGGTGTGGGCGTCTGACTCTAGCGGGTCTCTTTGTTTAAAAAAAAAAAAAATCTCATTTTTTTGGGTTTTGCTTTCATGATCTAACTGCCTTAAAGAAACCCTGCCTGCTAATACCATCATCTTAGGAGTAGGATGTTACATATAAATTAAAACTTTATTATTAGTGTGTGTGTGTTTGCAAGTGTGCACATGTGAATGATGTGTGGTGGACATGAGTGTGGGCATGAGTGTGATACCGTATGTGAGGTCAGTGGAATCAGTTTTTCCTTCCACCACAACACAGATTCCAGGAATCAACTCAGGATACCAAGCTTGCAGACATCCCATTGGCTCTTAGCATATGATTTTTTTTGCCGGGAGGCACAAGCATGCTGTCCATAATACTGTCTCCTATTCTCTCACCCTGTGTCTTCTACAGCTATTGATCTCTCTCCTTGTCATAAGTATTTTAGTAATCTACATGGTCTCTTTGTGTGCTATAGGCTGCATATGAGAAAATATCCTAGTAGGCATGGGTGCCACATCCCTCGGCTTTTTAAAAATTTTATTTTATGAATTAATGTAGGAAGATCTCTGCATGTTCTTGCATTTTGATTTGAAAATACTGGCTTTTTTTTTCAGTTCTCTTACTTGAACAAGTTCAGACTTCTGCTTCTGAGAAAATTTTGCTTACTTTCTGTTTCTTTTTATTTTTTAGCTACTGTTGGTATTATTGTATTTTTGAGGTCAGGTCTCATATAGTCGTGTTGGCCTCAAAGTCTATGGAGTCAAGGATGACTTTGAACTTGCACAATCTCCAGCTTCCACCTCCTAAGTGTTAGGATTTGAGACGTGAGCCACCACACTTGGCGTCATGGTTTGTACCTAACATCAGAAACCACTTCTGATGGTCTCCCCTTCTCTTGAAGGATTTTTTTTTAAATGTTTCAGAAAACAATTTCTAGTTTAAAGTCTCCTCCTCTTGGAACTAAAACCACAAAATAAAACAAAAAGAGACAAACAAACCATGACCCTAGAACACCACAGTAGCTCTGTTTCTGGGCTCAGAGTTGGATCCCAGAAATCCCTGAGATACTAACACAGCCTCAAAATGTTGGCTGGAGTGTCACAGCAGGGAGCCTTTGACTGAGGTTGCTGTCCTGCAAACCAAGAAGCAGAGTGGGAGGCTATCTGTATATGGGAGTATACAGCCAGTCAGCCTCCCAAAGCTCGTGGCCTTTCAGAAGATAGAGTCAGTGCCATCCCTTAGGGTTCAACTTGTGTTTCTGCTGACCCCAGAGTACACCCATGGTCCCCTCAGTCTAAAGACCGCCGAATGGTTTTTGTGATGGTTATGATTTTCTTCCTGAACTGTCATGACTCCCAGCTACAAACCCTATTTCCAGCCATAGATATGTTCCATTGCAATATCCACCTCCCTACTAACTACCCAAGGGATCTTTCAGGAGCGGATGCTCCTCAAAACCAAAGACAAGCAACTCCCCTTGTCTGGGGCTCTGTCTCCATCTTGCCCATCATCGCTCAGTTCAATGATGCCATGCCTCTTTTGCCTTTATACACACTGAACTCTTCTCCATGCTCCTCCATGTCATTCTGCATGACAGCAAAACTCTGTACACCAGGGTTAGTAAGAGCAAGACTTTTGGGTTTAGAGAGACCAGTGATGGATGTGCTTTAATCCCACAAATATTTACTCAGTGTTGTGTCTTCTCTGTGCCTCTTGGGCATACTTTCCACAGTATTAGCTGGAGAGCCTTTACAAAGTTAGCTAACATCTCTAGTCCCATGTTTACATACTTATGAAGCAAGGATCATGTTAATGGAGCACTAAGCATGGTCCGTCACAACACACACACACACACACACACACACACACACACACACACACACAAACACAAACACACCCTTCAAGTAGGAGGTTTTGTTCAGCTACATTTATCATTCTTCATGTTTAAATTTATGTTAGATGATTCAAAGCTTGCTCTCTTCCAATCACGTGTCCCCTGTAACACCTGACACCTCCCTTTGAGACATCCCTTCCATAAAACATCACTCCTTTGGTTTCATTGGCTGATTCTCTCACTATTCCTGGATGGAGACCCCCATCTCCTCTGTTCCTTGTTCCAAGTGCCCAGGGTTTATCCCTGAGATTTAATTACTCTGTGGAGAAGGTCCATCTTCAGATGGCTGCACCATCACAGACAGTGAGGCAGCCCTTACACACCTGTTCCTTCCTCAACAGACCTGATTTTCTTGCCTCTTCTCCTGGCGAGTGAAAGGACACACGGGACTTGGCTGCAGTCTGAGGTGGCAACTGGGACACAGACTAGCCAATTACGTGAGACTGAATGACATGGAGAATCAAATCCCAACTAGTCCATGCATCTCAGGTCTTGCTAATATCATATCTTAACTGAACTTGTCACCAGAGGTCTAGGCTCTCACTAACGCTGAGAACAGCAAGCATGGCAAGGTTAGCATCCAACCTCACCATCCAACCAGTCATTCTCTTTTTCTTATTTTTAATTTTTATAATGCACTTCAATGTTCCCATTTAAAGGAATAAGCACATCCACAGAAATTACCCCAGAAACTAAACTGACCATCTGTGTCTCTCTGGTCAGGACCTTGGATGGCAGAAGTCAAGGTCACCTACTTGTTCAAGAGTTGCTCTCATAACTCTCGGCTTCTGGTAGGACCAACACGGGGGCTCAGTGTTTCCTTTCCACATTCTTTGCCCCATCTCCCTGTAGACTCTCAGGTTTCATGAAGCCTGCCCTTCCACAAGCCAGTTCTACTTGCCATTGAAAATGGATCCTAAGGCAACTTTCTCCCCACAGAGTCGTAACATCACAGAAGGAAAATGTCAAACTCAGACGGTGTAACTCACCTGCTCCTGAGTTCTGGCTGGTGGTGTCAATAGCAGAGCCCGCTCAGCTGAACTCTTCTCCAAACAGTGACACTGGGAACTAAGTTTCTAACTTATGTTTCAGGACACAGTCAGACCACAGCAACTCCCTTTGCTGTCTTGATTCCCAGGGATATCCTGGCACTGGATGCTACTTCTGAAGTGCTTGCTGTTTAATGGGTGGTACAGCACACACAGCAAGCATTCTGAAGGTGGCAGCTCAAGAACAGAGATCTTTTGACAAAAATGACTTGATGCTTACTCAGTTTGCATCCCTGGACACAATGGGTGCCCTGGAAAGTCAGGCCAGCTTCAGGATTTGGAAAGAAAATCTTGTTGGAAGATCATTTGTTCTTGGGGGAGCTGAGCCCTTAGACTGGGCTCTATATCTAGACTGTTAATCTTTATCATTTGTTATTTTCAGCAGACTGTCCTACTCTCCCTCTTCCTTCCTTCCTCATAGCTCCCAATAGTTGCCCATGGCCCTCGAAGACTCACTGCAGCTGAAAAATGTACTGGGCTGCTGCTAACCTCACCCCTCACCCATACCAACTCAGTGCTCATGCTGTCCGAACCTGCAGGCTTTAATTTCCCTGTAAACCCAAATGAAGGTTTCATAAGACCTTACCGCAACTCTGGTAGAGGACTTCCAAGCCCCCACTGCTGCAGGCCATGTGAGTGGGCCAAGCGTCCCCTCTGCCATGGCCACTGCTGCTGGGAGAAGTCAGCGTCCACACAAGGAGGGCAGCTGCAACACTGTTCATGGTGAGGGGTTGTGTGTGACCAATGCTAAGCAAGCCCAATAAAAAAAGGCCTCTAGGGCTCTTCCTTCCCCTCATGAGTTCTGGCTGGTGGTGCCAACAGTTTCACTTCTCAAATACTAGGCTCTGGGGAATTCAGTGTGAGAGGCCACAGGCAGAGAGTAAGGAGGGGCATTTGAATATGTTCCAGAGGGTCTCCGTTCACTTGAAATAGGGGTATGAGTGTGTGTGTGTGTGGGGGGGCTAGGTTGAAAGCCTACTTCCTGCTTTTGCAGGAAGAGGTATAGCATGGCTCCTCGAACAGTCTTCCTTAGTGTTACCCAGTGCAGACTTAAGCTCAGGAAAGATGAGCCTCAGGCCACCATGTGTTTTCCATCAGCATGTACATCATTGAAGGCTCCTGAAGTGAGACTCAGAGCTGGGTAAAGCCAGAAGGCACATTTGGCATTTTGAGGGTTGCATGTTAGCATTCGGAATCTGAAATGAGGCTTTTGTCCCATCTATATTGGCTTTCCTCTGGCTTTGATCCTGGTGTTGGGGTTAGGAGTCAGTAGTACATTGTCCAGCAGGAGAACAGGCCCTTTCCCTTGGAGCCTTGCAGAGCGTCTCTGAGTGTTCTCTCTCTCTCTCTCTCTCTCTCTCTCTCTCTCTCTCTCTCTCTCCCCCTCCCTCCCCCCTCTCTCTCTCTGTGTGCATGTGAGCTCAGAAGATAACTTCTGGGACTCAATTCTCTCCAGTCACTGTAGGTTCTGGGAATGGAACCCAGGTCACCAGGCTTATGAGATGAGTACTTTTACCTACTGAGTTTCATTGGCCCATGGCTTTCTCTAAGGCTAGTTTTACTGTTGGTCTCTGGTGGGATCACTGATGTCATTTCTCACAGACAAGATTTTTCCTTACATGGACTCTGGTTGTTCTGCTTCAGAACAGTACGTTTTCTTAATCTCAGCCCCCCATGCCCACTCTACATAGTTCACCAGATTCATGGCCAAGGCCAGCAGTGCTTCAGAGCAATAGGAAACACTGTTTCCTACGGCAGGAAGAGATGACATATATTCCATTGAGAATGTACAATATATTTTTAGAAGATTGCTCAATAAAATGTTATCTTCTTGCATGACAGATGGCATTTTTCCTTATAGGAAAAAGCAAACCTTCAAGTAGTCATGCTTCCTTGTTTTGTTCACTGAGGACCAGGACTTGACTTTGACTACTGGTGATGGCCCATCTGTTTCAGAAATCAACCCCAAATTATGTCATCTTGAGCTCTGTTATGGTTTGGATATTAACTGCCTCCTAGAGTTCCACATGCCAAGTGCTTGGTCACTAGCCTGTGGCACTGTTGAGAGGTAGTAGAACTTTTAAGTTAGACCATCAAGGATTGGCCTTCAAAGTGGATATTGGGACTCTTCCTTCTCCCCTTTTTTCTTTTGTTTCCAAGTTGCCAGTAGATGATCAGGTTTCTTCCACATGCAGCCCCGACATAACATGCTCCACTACAACCCACAAACAATGGAGCCAAGTGCCCATGCTTCAGAACCTCAGAAGCCGTGAAGGAAAACACACTTTTCTCCCCTTCATTTGCCTCAGGTATTCGGTCATAGTGATGGAAATCTGGCTATCACAAGTGTGGTGTTTTGAATAAGAATGACCCCTATAGGTTCATACATTTGACTGCTTAGCTACCAGGGAATGGAACTGTTTGAAAAGACTAGAAGGATCATGACATGAGGACTTGTTGGAGGAAGTGTGTCATTGGGGGTGGGCTTTGAGGTTTCAAAAGCCCAAGCCAAGCCTAGTGTCCCTCTCTCTCTCTACCTGTGGATAAGGATTTAGTTCTCAGCTACTTTTCTAGCATCATACCTGCTTGCCACTGTGCTCCCTGCCATGACGATAATGGACTAAATCTCTTAAACTGTTAGCAAGCCCCCAATTAAGTGCTTTCTTTTATGAGTTGCTTCGTTCACTATGTTTCTTCACAGCACAGCACAGAACAGTGACTAAGACAAAAAGGACAAGTTTTTAACTAGAAACTTTATGAAGACAACAAAAATTCTTCTGAGAACGTTCTGTTCCTTACTATAGAATAAGATTCGAATCATCTTATGATAGCTATTTAAAATATAGTTATGTATATGTAAATGGTAACTGAACATGCTGCCAGGCTCTGGTATCATCTCCCCCTTTAGCAAGTGGTGGCTAAAAAGGCTGTGTGTCTGCTCCTGCCTGTATTCCTCCTCTGCTTTTCGACGGTCCTTTCCTCTGTCTCCCACTATGCTCCTTTCATAGCGGTCATATTGGGAGTGATGCCTTCCTTTTCCCACAGGGTGAAAATAAGACCGCCTAACGATGGAGGATGGAGAGGAGACAGCAAAGAGTGGAAGGAGAAAGGGAGGCAAGGTGAACTGGGGAAGGGCGGCTGCTGAGTGGGCTGAAGCATCCTGTCTATGGGTGGGAAGAGCCAAAGATATCTAAGAACAGAGTCTAAGTCATAAGAGCTGACACAGGAGGGCTATGACTTCGAGGCCAGCCTGAGCTTTGTAATGAGATTCTTTCTCAAAACAATAACTGCACCCCTAACCAAACAATAACAGAGTATATTCTAATTTGTTTGCTGTGGAGTGTGAGAGGCTCCTCCAGATCAACTTACTTATCCAGAAATTCAGACCCCCCTGTGTGTGTGTGTGTGTGTATTTGTGCGCGCTCGTGCGTGCGCACACGCATGTGTGTTTAAAGGAAAGAGGTTCACCTTTTGCATCAGTTTACTGTGAAATTAGAGGTTATTGCCATGGGAAGCCAGCCCCTTGAGAAAGTGATGCAGTTTCAGTGTGGATGTTGTACTTCCTCAGGACAAGGAAGTTGGTTTGGATCAGTTTTAGCTCTCTCTTACATGCTGCTCTGAACACTAAGTCTGGTTTCAACAGTGCTTTCATTCTTATTTGTATTCGATGGTGCCCATCCACATCTAACTGGCTTAGGATACTTATTATAGTCCAGAACTGCACAACAATATATTGGTCAGCAATTGACTAGGTGTACAAAGGTGGCCAGTGGTAGCAGCCTTGTTCTTCTTGTGTTTATCACAACTCTTGCTTGTATTTTTTTTTTTTCTGTGCTAATTTAATCTTAAATTGCCTTGCTCACTGTGGCCCTGACAATCCACTGCTAATGTTGCCAGTAAAAGACCACATGAAGCAACTGGCCTAGAAAGCAAATTCAAAGTGATTAAGGACTACAGAGGTAGAAAGACAGAGGTCATTGCTTGCCACTTTGACAGGTGTCATTGCACAATGGGTATGAGCCTTAAAAGTAAAATAAAAGGAAACCATTAAAAGTCCTGTTTTACTAAGGCAATGAGGTTCACAGAAATGTAAAGAGGGCCTCTATCAGATATGGAGAAATATCCAGAGATTGGAGGAAAGTCAAACATGCGTTTATCCCATCATTATGACAGTCATGATCAACATAAGTTTATTTTCAGTGTTGCTATAAAAGCCTGGACTCAAGTGCAGATGTGAGTTTACTCTCGATTCTGAGTGACTGCCACGATTGGAAGAACTTCGTCCAGTGAGCAGAGTCTGGAGGACAATGCCAAGGCATTTTGGGAGGAAGTTTGGAAATGGCAGATCCTTTACTTAGTGGAATGAATCCTCAGTGCCATTCAGATCTGTGTAATGTCCTCTGTGATGTTCACACAGTGGCCCAGTGTTCCTTATGACATGTTTCTCAGAGCATGTTCCATTGCTAAGTGTCCATGACTGGATATCAAGAGTGTTTAACTTTCTTTGACCCTGACACATTTTCCCTGTGTTTCTGTCACCCCGTGGTAGGAAGAGACAGGCTTTTTAGACTTCTAGACTGAATGAAAGTGTAAATTGCTCTCATGTAAAGGTCAAGGGGACACCTTATTTCCTATGTAACACCATTTGCTACCATGCTGGTTAAGGTGGGTGTTTTACACTTATCCACACACCTTTTATTTGAAGGACTGACACCATCCTAGTTTGTCTCAAAGGAAGGTACAGAATGGCTCCTTTACTCTCTTGATGCCATAGATGCATATGTTAGACAGAAAGTTCAGAAACAATGGGGGAGAAAATTCCCGATTTGTCAACTTGCTTCCTATTCACTTGTTTTGCTAAGTATCTCCACAATACTAAGTATAGCTCCAAGCACCAAGAATACAGCAAAATATGGCCTTTATTTTTATAGCTACTTCTTAGTGGAAGTAACAACCACTTATTTGTTCCGTACAAACTTGCTTAATAGAGGAAAAAGAGGTATTATTTTTTTTATTTACATGGATTGATTCAGTGTGTGTGTAGGCACCTGCCCATATAGAAGTCATCCCACAGTCCCACCCTTGTGGAGGTCAGAAGAAAACCAGTGGTAGTTAGTTCTCCTCTTTCATTTGTGGCTCCTAGGGATCAAACTTGGGTTGTCATGCTTAATTCTAATCACCTTTAGCTGTGAGGCATCTCACTGGCCCTGTTTGGTTATTTGTTTATTTTAGGTGGGTGCTTACTAGAATTCACAATGGATCCCGGGCTGGCCTTTAACTCACAGCAGTTCTCTTGCCTCAGCCTCCCAAATGCTAGAACTGCAGGCATGAACTGCCATTCCCAGCTGGAAAAGAGATTTGAAGACTAAAGTAGGATTCTTTGACTGAACTTCCCTAAATATTTCATGTATATCTGCTGTGGCATATATACAATAAACTATAAAATTTTCCCAGCCAGTAGCTCATAAAGTTTTTTTTCCATTAACTATTTTCTTTAATGGATTAACCATAGCAGGCTTCTTTGAAATGTCAGCCTCTCCTCATTTGGTTATCGTTGCTACATTTATTATCATTATTAATGTCTAATTACTCCAGGGACATAATATGCAAAGTATTTTGTTTCTAAATGAATCTATAAATTCTATAACAAACTCTAAACAGAAATGAATTTTGTTTGAGGAATACATTTGCTATTCAAGGGAAGAGGTAAGCACTGTACATCAGCTAGATCAATTTCCCAATGATTTAAAGGGCAACACATT